ATAATAAAAAGCAGACAGTGAACTCCCACACTGAAGGCCCAACTCTGCTGCCACTGACTTTGGGCAGAGGGGAGGAGTTGTCAGTGGCTCTAACACTCTGTGTAGTAAAATCACCAGAGCAATTGCCAGTTACCCACTATAGCAGCACCACCTATCAGGTCTGGCTTGGGGGCAAACCACTGCCTCAGTTTCTCCCCCATGAGCTCCCCAATAATTTAAACATAGGCTTTAATTTGTCAAGAAACACACCTTCTTGGGGTCTAGCATAGGCGGCGGGTGAAACTTCCCCTGGGGGAGGCTAGTTCCCTGTCCCACCTCTTCCGCTCATGGCCCTGCCCATACGCCACTCCTGCTCTGTCCCAGGCCCTGCCCCTACTCTGCCCCAGCCCCACCCTCTCCCCTGCTCGGCCCCCTCCCCACTCAGCCCCCCCGCTGCTGCTCACTGAATCCCTCCTCTCCTCAACCCCGCTCCCTCACAGGGGTAGGGGGGTGAGGAGGGACATGGCAAGGGGCGGGGGCCGGGGGAGTCTCACAGGGAGGAGGGTGGAAGAGAGGAGGGATGTGACGAGTGGCAAGGACATCTGGAGATGGGGGCATGGAGTGGAGGAGAGGAGGGACTCACCAGGCAGTGGCAGGTGGTGGGGGCATCGGGAAAGGGGCCGAGCAGGGAGGGGAAGAGGCAGAGTGCAGGTGGGGCCACCACAACCCAGGTGGGTCGTCAACAGCTGCACCAGGGGAGGCTTAGCACGTGGGGTCTAAGTTTATTAACAAAGTTCACAAGGAAACTTGAGGACTCCTAGCCACAACCCTGGCTGTAGGGCTCCTTAATCTTGTTGCTCTTGAGGCTTTCCGCTAGCGGCTTTGCTCTCTATCAAGCAGCAACACCGAGGGCTTCCTATCTGGTATCTCCCTTTTCTCTCTCTGACTCTCTACGATCCTCTTATCTATGTCCTGGAGGCCTGATGAAGCCACATGAGCTGTCCTGATATTGCTCATTTTCTCCACCTCCATCTCCATCGGGGGGTGGGGGGTGGGTGCGCTAAACATGCCACTGAAGGGCCAGTCACACCATGACATCCCTGAAAATGTTTGGCTGGTAAAGTTGCAGGATCGCTCTACTCCTTGTAAAGAGTAACGGTAGCTTGCTGAACGAAGTGTGCCTTTTTACACTGATCACCTGGGCCTCCGGGACTGTGTGCATTCCTCCCCCCGCACCCGCTTTGACTTTTACACTTCCTTCACATAAGTGGAAAATTCCCAAAGATGCAATGTTTGCTTTGTTGACAGACGAAAACACATTTTAAATGAGAGCCCAGTATCGCGTTTCTCATTCAAATGGTAGGGAAATCTGAGCAATTAGGCATATCAGGGATGATATGAAGCAAATGAACTAATTTGTTTTCTGAGGGTTTGTTCGCTTGGAGCAGTAATGCGTTCTATGGACTGTGATTTCTAAACCATATTAACATGATGCACATTAATTGATCTGTGTAGACCCTGCTGGTGTGCACTGAAGGTTCCCTAGTGTGCTTTAACACCATAATACATTAATCATTTAGCGTGAGACGTGGGGTTGCTTGCTAGGATTTGGGTATATCTCAGCAAATCAATTCCCTGCCATTGCAGGGGCCTTGGGCACTGGTACACCACAGTGCTTTCTGTTCTCTATTTGTGGCACGCAATATTTTAGTCTTTTGAGGGCTGTAATACTTTGATCTAATTCAGGTTGTTGGACTCACTGCAGGGGTGGTGGGTGAGGTTTAGTGGCCTGTTGTGTACAGGAAGCCAGGCTGATGTGCTGGTCCCATCTGGCCTTAAATACTATGACTTTTATGCATGTGGGATTTGAGGTAGATAAGATAGCATCACAGGATTATTTGAATGGTATAGCATAATATTCCAGAGGTATCTTATGAAAATACAGATTTCTTCCCGTGCCTGTATCTCATAAATTCTTTCTCCTACTGCTACCAGTTTTTGTACTCTCACTCTGTATTATTGATTTGTTTGTTTGCACTGGGATAGATCCCCACAGTGCTAGGCATTGTACAAACACAGAACAAAAACAGGCCCAAAGAGCTTACAACAGGGACCGGCAACCTTTGGCACACAGCCCACCAGGGTAAGCCCCCTGCCGGGCCGGGCCAGTTTGTTTACCTGCTGTGTCCACAGGTTCGGCTGATCACGGCTCCCACTGGCCACGGTTCGCCATTCCAGGCCAATGGGGGCTGCGGGAAGCAGCGGCCAGCACATCCCTCGGCCCACGCCGCTTTCCACAGCCCCCGTTGGCCTGGAGTGGCAAACCGCGGCCAGTGGGAGCTGCGATCGGCCGAACCTGTGGACGCGGCAGGTAAACAAATCGGCCCAGCCCGCCAGGGGGCTTACCCTGACAGGTCGCGTGGCAAAGGTTGCCAATCCCTGGCTTACAATTGAAATAAAAGACAAGAGACAGGTGGATGCAAGTGGACAGAGGGGGAGCTCATGTGTCAAGGTTCCTCCCCCACTCTGAACTCTAGAGTACAGATGTGGGGACCTGCATGAAAAACCTCCTAAGCTTATCTTTACCAGCCTAGGTCAAAACTTCCCCAAGGTACAAAATATTCCACCCGTTGTCCTTGGATTGGCCGCTACCACCACCAAACTAATACTGGTTACTGGGGAAGAGCTGTTTGGACGCGTCTTTCCCCCCAAAATACTTCCCAAAACCTTGCACCCCATTTCCTGGACAAGGTTTGGTAAAAAGCCTCACCAATTTGCCTAGGTGACTACAGACCCAGATCCTTGGATCTTAAGAACAATGAACAATCCTCCCAACACTTGCACCCACCCTTTCCTGGGTAATGTTGGATAAAAAGCCTCACCAATTTGCATAGGTGACCACAGACCCAAACCCTTGGATCTGAGAACAATGAAAAAGCATTCAGTTTTCTTACAAGAAGACTTTTAATAAAAATAGAAGTAAATAGAAATAAAGAAATCCCCCCTGTAAAATCAGGATGGTAGATATCTTACAGGGTAATTAGATTCAAAAACATAGAGAACCCCTCTAGGCAAAACCTTAAGTTACAAAAAAGATACACAGACAGAAATAGTTATTCTATTCAGCACAATTCTTTTCTCAGCCATTTAAAGAAATCATAATCTAACACATACCTAGCTAGATTACTTACTAAAAGTTCTAAGACTCCATTCCTGGTCTATCCCCGGCAGAAACCAGTATAAGACAGACACACAGACCCTTTGTTTCTCTCCCTCCTCCCAGCTTTTGAAAGTATCTTGTCTCCTCATTGGTCATGTGCCAGCGAGGTTACCTTTAGCTTCTTAACCCTTTACAGGTGAGAGGAGCTTTCCCCTGGCCAGGAGGGATTTCAAAGGGGTTTACCCTTCCCTTTATATTTATGACATCATGGAAACAACGAGGCAATAATCTAAATGCCTTATCTAACTTTAAATTGGTTTGGAAAGCAATTTGTGAGAAAGATGCTGTACATAAGAGAGTCTATTGTTTAAACTGTAGCTAGTGCTGAATTTATTTTCTGTACTGTAATGCCCTTGTTGCATGTGGGTGACTTAATTTGGTTCTGTTTTGTTTGTGGGTCAGATTAACCCTTACTGCAATCAGAAAGATAACATGAAGGATTAATTTGTAATTTTTTCTATATTGTTGTTTTTTAGTTTCATTGATGCAGGTATGGAGTATAGGCATGTTATATAACACTATGAATAAAGCTGGTCATAAAGAAAACCAAGCACATCTGCTGAACAGAAGGTATGCAACCACAGTGCAATAGATTGCAAACAGCTTAGCATCTGGATTTTGATTTTTTAGAAAGTCAGCATTTTACATTAAATAAGATTTTAAAGTTCTTTATACAAAATCTCCTTGACTGTATAACTTTATCTGTGTGTGTATCTGTCAGTGGTGGGTTTATTTTTCTTTTTTTTTTCATATACATAGTATGTGCTGTACCAGTTTAAAAGTCTCAAAGGGACTGTAGGTACACACTAGAAATTTACAGTAATACATATTCATAGTAAGCTTTTTCTTCTTTTTTTAAGAAGAAGAAAAACAATTAGGTTGGTTTTAAATTTGTTTATGCTCTAAGAACTGTTTCCCCACCCCCTGAATCAGAATCAACTCACAGGAAAACTTTGAAGCCAGTATTTGAAAAATGAAGAGACTTTGACTTAGAGAACAGTGAATTGCCAGACTTTCAAGTGCACATAGATCTGACAACTCAGGGAGTTAAACCAAGGGAATTACGCAGGTCTTAAAGCGATAACAGCCCAGGCTCTTAGACCTTTTGCATTTAAAAATGTTTTGGTATCATTGGAAGATTAATTTTGTATACAAAATAAAGCACATCGTTTTCGTCTCCCTCTCTGGCCAGTACTGTTTATCTGCAGCAGAAGTCAGTCTCCCGGGGACAGCAAGGACAGCTGCCCTCTGGAAGAGGAGGGTTAAAAAAAAAAAGTGTGTACACTACTTTCTCTGCAGGATTTGGGTAAGTAGATCCCAGAGTGGCTTATTTACTGCTAATAGGGGTGTCAACTGGGGAAGATTTGAGAGACCCAAACAGTCCTTACAAGGACATAATATGGGTGCATAGAATATAGGTTATTTGTAATATATATTTATATATTACAAGCACATAAGTGACAAGTGCAACACACACACACACACACACACACACACACAAAGTGCCAGATTCTGATCTCAGTTACACCAGTAAAAAACGGAATAACTCCATTCTCTGCAATTGAATTGTTTCTGATCATAATTACACCTGTATAAAGCCTCCAAATTACTTCAATAATTTTAGATTGACACTGGGATAGCAAAATTGACACTGCCTGCCTGGTTTAAAATGAAATACAATGTGATCTTTACAGTCTCTGGAGTGCACTTTTAGCTGTCGGTTTAATTTACCCACTTTCAGTTGTCACAGCCAGCCTCTGCTGAAATCGAGACCGATTAAAATACAAGCCTGCACAGATACCTTGTTTTTTGGTTGAGTCCAAAGAGAGAGAAATCCTGTAAAACCTTGCAGCCCAACTTGCATGCTGAATTACCACATAGAGGGTAACCAAGTGATGGTAAAACTCCTGAGGCACCCCGAAGCACTCTTTTATAAGGATTTTAAAAAGCCTCTTAAAAATAGCAGCAGAGATCAGAGTCTCTGAGGGGAGGGGAAGTGAGGGGAAAAAAAAAGAGAAGAAAAACTTTGGCATGCATGTAGTGCCTTACATCAATCTATGTAGATGTTCTTTCCTCCTTTTGTGTAACACCCCTTTCCTCCTACAGACCACCCAAAGCCCTATAAATAATCCAAGAACTCTGTTTTTTCTTCAGCTTTCTCCTCCGATCTCAAAAGAGAAATATCAAGCAGGGGAAGGGAGGGAGAGAGAGAGAAAGAGAGAAAAGATGGCTAGTGAATTCAAAAAGAAAATGTTTTGGAGGGCAGTAGTGGCTGAATTCTTAGCCATGAGCCTCTTTATTTTTATCAGCATCGGCTCAGCACTGGGCTACAATTTTCCTGTAGTCGGCAACAAGACAGCCACAGCCACTCAAGACAATGTGAAGGTCTCGCTGGCTTTTGGGATCGCGATTGCAACCATGGCACAAAGTGTGGGTCACATCAGTGGTGCCCACCTGAACCCAGCGGTGACCCTGGGTCTTCTGCTGAGCTGTCAGATCAGTGTCTTGAAGGCTTTCATGTACATCGTTGCCCAGTGTCTAGGAGCAGTGGTAGCCACGGCGATTCTTTCTGGAGTCACTTCATCTCTTCCAAACAACTCCCTTGGGCTCAATGCGGTAAAGCTGATAACTTTTTCTTTCCCACTTTCAAGCAGAAGTTTTAATGTGAGATCACTAACCTACTGAGGAGGGCAATCTGGTGTCTGGGGATTGTTTGAGGCAGCAAGTCATAATGCAAGACACTGTGTTTAAAATAGGGCTTCATCCAAAGCCCACTGAAGTCAATGGGAGCCTTTGCCTTGACTTCAATTGCCATGGGATAAAGTTTTTAGGGCTCATGCTGTCACTTGCTAGTACAGCTACTACTGTAAGCTTACAGATATACAAACCATCCTCTATAAGACAGAGATCAAGGAGAAGGTCCTCTTTTTCCTGAAACAAGGTCGTATGTTGCTGGTTACTGGAATCACATTATGTTTGTGTTTGCTTTTGTACGTCAAGCATGAGATATTCAAAGTTGCCTAAAGGATTTAGATACCCAATTCCCATTAAAAATAGTGGCAATTGGGTATCCAAATACCTTAGCAGACTTTGAAAATCCCAGTCTACATATCTTTTCTGGTGATGCCATTTAATGTGCATAGATGAATATATATTTTTATTTTTTTCAGGTTACTCTGTATAGGCTACCTAATTAGGGGCTCAGATAACCCCAGGATGGAGGCTAAGAACATAGGTACCTAACTAAACACAGAGAGAAAAAGGTGGGGGGGGGGAGGAGGGAGCGAGATCTGTAGCAAAGCAAATCCTGTTGTCAAAAATCTACAATGAAATGTACGTGTTGCATTACCCTGAGAGCCGAATTGCTCTCTGACACCGAGTTACAGTTGCCACTTCTTGTGTTTTTGTTTGTTTAGAAATACACTTATGGAAATGTTGAATTCTGCATTGCTCTGTCCAAGAGGAGGTGAGGCAACTGTCTATAATAGGAGCCCTGGTTTCAATACTTTTACAGCCAGATGTTTGTGGCTGTGTGACTGTGGACAGTAATTTCAATAAAGCTGCTCCAATCATTTCAGTGAAGCTGTTCCTCCTTAAAACACTGGCATTTGACCAGAGTGGCAACTAAATGGATCCACATATCTTTAAGCATTTGTTTGGCTTAGAATGAGCCTATTTTCAATGTCAATCACATAGCCACAAACACCTTGTTAGTGTTACCTACAGGAATATTAAAACTGGGATTTCCCTTATGGCTAGTTTCAGAGTAACAGCCATGTTAGTCTGTATTCGCAAAAAGAAAAGGAGTACTTGTGGCACCTTAGAGACTAACCAATTTAAATCGGTTAGTCTCTAAGGTGCCACAAGTACTCCTTTTCCCTTATGGCTAGTTACTCCATCTGATTCTGTACAGTGCACTTATTTCAAATCTTCTGGATGTTCCCTCCCATATAAAAAATTTAAGGTGGCAGTTTGTGACATTAATATTCAGCACCCAGTTTAATTCACGGGGCATATTTGCAAGAGAAGGTTTTGATCAGAATATGTCTTTTGCTACAGGTAAGCCCTTTATGGGCAAGAGAAAACAAACAGAACAAGTCAAAGAGTATTAAATGAACAAATAATGTGTTGTGGTTTAACTTGTGGTGGTGTCTACAGGCAATTACAATGAAATTATGAAAAATATAGTAAAAGTTGGTATTTAATAAGTTACTCCAGAGAAACAAGTGGGTGTCATTGGTCTTCATGCTCCATTGCAATATTAGGTTTCAGAGTAGCAGCCATATTAGTCTGTATCCGCAAAATTACTCGTTTTCTTATTGCAATATTAGTTGCTTGTTTACCTCTCTGGAATCTGTGGATACAGAGGATTTGATGATCCATCTATCCACTCAGCTTCCAAATTTTGATGATAATTATGGGCCTGACACAAAGCCCATGGGAATCAATGAGCATCTTTCCATTGACTTCAATAGGCTTTGGATCAGGGTCTAAAAACGGTATGTACTCTTTCCCTCTGAAACCAATGTTGGAGGGAACTAGACCATGCAGGAGAGAAGCACATGGGACATGATGTAACCAAAGAGGTTTCCTGCAAATACCTAGCGGCCAGCTGCCATTAAATGCGGGTGGTCTGTTTCCCAGAGTGTTAGCATTTGGATTTCCCCGTCTGCACGCTGGCCAGCCATGAAACCCTCATGCACTGGTTCATCCTAAATCCCAGAGCCCTGAACCTGGACTTTTGTTGGGTGGATACATGACACCAGACAAACCCCCTTTTGTTTCTTGGACTACCCCCTAAGTTATGAGTTACACTGCACGAGCTGGGAGCTGGGGGCCCCAAAGAGAAAAGTCTGGGAGGCAGGGGGCAAGACTGGGAAGATAGGGCTGGAATGACAAGAAGGCAGGGAGAAAAGCCTACAGGGATAATAAAGCAAATACAGGCTGGCTCTGAGAGGGAAAGAACCATTTCTTGAGAGAAAATGTTCCCTCCACTTGGGCATGTGCCTCAGCCTTTAGGCACTATACCACAAAATCAGGGACTATTTTTTCCCCAGATGAGCCAATATTTTTCCCCATTGCCCTCCCAGCCAGCCAATGTATGTACTAAATCTAATTGCATATGCAAAGTGTCGGGGTGGAATCAATGGTAATTTTGCCATTGGCTTCAGTGGGACTCGATTTTACCCCAGGAGCCTTAAAAATTCCACCTGACCTGCAGGAAGGAAGCCTCTGAGTCTTTACAGCAACTCAGTGGAATTCAATGGAATTTGTGCTTTTAGGGGAAGAGAGTACCCTGCAGGGGAAAACCATGGTATTTTATGGCTCCAGCGCCGTGTGTGACCATATCCCCAAGTTGGAATTTGTCCAGGACACTGGTCAGCACCCTTATCATGCAGTTAATGTAGCTCTCTAAGGTGACATCGCGAGTGTGGGTATCAATGGTCTTCATTGTCAAATATTCAGAAGAAATGATTTTTCATTCAGTGCTAAATGTTCTGGCTGGAGTCTCGGTGGGGGAATCTCCCTGGAGATGGGGAGAGCAGCAGCTGTTGTTTTCCCTTTGAGAGAAATAGAGAGGAAAACAAATTTATTTGCTTCCCACTGGCCAGTCCAGATTGGCTGGGTGGCTAAGTTCGGTGCCGGGGAAAACAGCACAGCAGCTGCCCTGACAAGAAGGGTTTTTCAGAACCTGTCACGATAGGTCACATGGGAAAAAAACGCACAGGTCAAGCCTCAGAGCAGGCTGGATCCGCCCTTAAACAGAAGATAAGCAGAAACAATGTAGATCTGCCTTTGCACAGTGCTGCCCGCTTTAACTAGAGTACAATAGGGAAGGGATAGAACTTATATTATTGCCAACAGCTTCAGCTGCTTGTGCTTTCAGTGGGAATGAGAGGGTACATGACTCTGAATGTGTGGGGAAAAAAAAGAAGAGGCTTTTAGGCTGGGCTATGGTTCCTAGAGGAGTGGTTTCTGTTGTAACATCATCAGAGTTTATTAGGGTCAAATTTTCTCAGTTTTCATGAGCCCCCCACTCCCCCCAAAAGTGCAAGCACCTTTGCACGTGACAAGGGTGAGTGAATAGACCACCTGCTGTGGACACGCAGTCTCAGACCTGCATGTGTGCATCGTGGTAATAGTGACCCTCTCTGCCTATCAACAGCAAACCAAACAGACAAAAAGAAATGCAAGCAAACTGAGCAAAATGACAGCAGTTATAACAAAACACACCAAGAGAGATGCAAGGGTGCAGAGAAAGAGGGTGGAGGGAGGGAGCAGGGAAAGGATTTGAACTCCTTTAAAGGGTTTACTTTTAGGGACTATACGGTGCTAATGTAACCCACACACCTGCTGGGTCTGGTGTTCTGTCCCCTCTAATGGCGCTGAGACCACTAGGAGATTAATGAGTTTGCTCTCCAGCCTTAGCTAAGAGCCATATGGCTTGAGGCTCATGCATTTAACTCTAGAAGTCCCAGGTTCAGTCCTGCCTGCCGATGACTGGGGCCTGTCAGTGTTACACTAAGATGACCACATTAAAAGGGCCTGATCCAAAAGCCACTGCCATGAAGGGAAATATATTTATTTTGTTCAGCAGGCTTTGAATCAGACACTAGTGCTGAGGGACAGTAAGAGACAAGCTGGGTATGTGCAATTCTAAAAATCTGCCCCTCCCTTGTCAGTCTTTAACACAGTGTTAACACAGGAAAGGTATCTGTTTGCAGTTCAGAGGAAGCATCTCTTTCCATCAACTTGCATCTTTTTTTTTTTATAATTTCAGCTTCTCACCCCAAACTAGTTTCCATATGGTAGAACTCTAAGAGCAGAGTAAATTCAAGACACAAAACCTTAGCTTTTGAATGTAGCTGATTATTCTATGTTTGAGACAGATCTGTAAGCTATGGATTGTTAACGTGTCATTTACTTACGCTAAACAGACTACTAATGGTCAACAACCTGCTTAAGTTAATGAAAAGCAGGCAAGAGGCAACTGATATGTGGTCAGATAACTGCTGTAGCAAAG